ATGAATTAAGACATTGTCTTAATGATTAGTATAGTCTACAAGTGGGTGGAAGGCAAAACAACAATAGATGTGAACCTATGTTTCCATGAATAGAAAGCATGACAATGCTTTTATGCGTAGAAATCATTGATTAATTTCATATTGCATCAAAGTGGAAATAAAATAATTTTACATATTTTATTTACCATGTAAGTTTTCAAAATTATTGCTTGCTTTTTGTACTTAAACTTATTATTATTATTATTATTATTAAAGTTAAAAAGCAACTGACTTTGTTCAATTTTATTTTTAAGTCATGCTTCCTTCATAAAATGCAACATATGATCTATCCATAAATGAATTATGTAATATATAAATGTATGGATAATGAAAATTTTTTGATTGATAATATGATCCTATCTGTTTATTAGGTTTTTAAATTATCATTTTAAATATTTATTATGATTATATTAATAAAATTTATCTAATTTATAAATATATCAATATTCTAATTAAATCGAATGACTTTCATTAAATTTTTTTTTCTTAATTATAATAATATTGATTTATAGATTAATATTAAAAATTCTAAATTATATATAAATGAAATATTAATTATCTTTTATATTTTATTCTCTTTCAATTATAATTGTCTTTACTTATTATTAATAACTCTTTCTCACCGTAGCATACGTATGAAATAATAACGACGACGTTTTATTTGGCGGTTCAATTGTTACAAGATTTTACAAAACCCGTAGTCGGCCCAATTAAAGTCCACCTCGCGCTCATGTGGAAGTCGGAAGAAGGAATTCTATTTGTCTCCTTTTTCTTCCTCTCTAATCATTTTTGTTTTTTACAGTTACCTTTATTGTTAATTAAAAAAAAATCCCTAATCGTCCCCGTCCATATCTAGGGTTCCATTGCTCTATCAAAAAAAAAAAGGGAAGCCCTCAGAGCCTCGATCGAGTTGCTGCGATGGCGAGACGAAGAGACGAGGAAGATGATGACGTGGAAGAGGAAGAGTACGAAGATGAAGATGAGCAGCTGTTGGACGACGAGGATTACGACGAGGACGAAGATGAGGGGAGGGGCGGTGGCGGTTCCAGTAGGAAGCGGCGGAGATCTGATTTTATCGATGACGTGGCGGAGGAAGATGATGAGGAAGATGAAGATGACGACGACGAGGGTTATGGTGGTGGTCGTGGTGGGAGACGACAGAACAAGGCTCCGCGTAGCGGCTCTCACTTTTTTGATCTTGAAGCACAGGTCGATAGCGACGACGAAGAGGAAGAGGACGAGGGAGAAGACGGTAATTTAACCTGCCTTCTTTTGTTTTATTCATTGTTGGAAATTTCGATGATTGGCGATATGGAAATTAGTAATGAAGTGGAAAAAACAAGTGATAATTAATGTGCTTGAATCGAGAATATGTGGGGATAATTCAAATTTAATCTTTTTTAGAAACTAGTTTCAAAGCTGAAGCTGGTTCAATGTTGTATTTTTGGATGTTGCAATTATATACCTCTTTTTTTTTAAAAAAAAATTCTTTAACATGAATATAGTGCTACCATCTTGTGAAGATATTTAGAATTGATACATTTGGAAATTTCAGAGTGTGTTTTATTTACTAGCAGGTTTTTGTAATTGAGGATTAGAAGTAGTTTCTTTTCCTTGTTTGTTTTCGCTGAAGGATGACATATTTTGCATTCCAGTTGTGTAAATGGCATGTGTATTTCCTATGGAGTAACTGCTAACAAATTCATAATCATTTATAGGGGGTATTTATTGAATGTTGGCAATTCTTAAAATTCTCAAAGTGAATATTGGGGTTGGTGGCATATGGTAATGTAGCATTACTAGCATTCGGTTTTGATTATGTAGTTGTTGTGAAAGTCATTAAACGTTTACTTTTTAGATTTATGCATTTGAACCTTATATCTCTCTGAATTTCTTATCCGATTCATGGTGTCTCACTCTTGAAATTTCTAGAAAGGCACGTATTCCTACAAATTTGGTTAAATAAGGAGATGTGCATTTAGTTGGCTGTATTTCGTGCTTGTATGTATGCACTTATCAGACTGTTATTTTGGATATTGTTATTCATGATAATGGGATTGAACAGCAGGAGTAGCATTCATAATCCTACTGTTGTAATTATATGATTCTCAATGAGCTTATATTTATCCAACATTTGTTTTTAAACTTGTCTGTGAAGAACTCCCCTTCGTTACAATGAACCCACAGTTATTTGTATGATGGTTCTGTTTAATTTGTACCTTTGTTGGGATACTAGCGCCTGATGTGCCACAAAATCTAGGAATTCCTCTTTGTTATTATAAAATTTAATGTTCAATCTGAAAATTTGCTAATTTTGTGATTATTAAAATCTCAAGAAGCTCCTAGCTTCCAACTATTTTTTTATTCCAAACTTGTCGTCAAGAATTATTCCTTCATTCATTGAACTCACAGGTTTTTGTATGCTAGGCATGGCAGAAAAAAAACTTTCATTTCTGCACAGTTCTCAATTCACTCTGTTGACAGTTCTGTTGCATTTGTACCTGTGTTGGGATACCTTGCATCTGATGCTCTGCAAATTCTAAGAATTCCACTTTGTTAGAAAATTTAATTTGCTCAATCTAAATTTTCCAGGTTACCTTTTTTTCTGTCCTTTGTTTTTAATTTCAAATTTGTCCTTTTTTAAAGCTTCTTAGTTTTTCGCGTATTGTGCTTGAGAATCTTTTGGTGACCATATTTGTCAATTTTTTCCCAAAATCTGTTGGTTATAACAAGGTAGTGCAGTAGCAATTGCTTGGTTAGAAAATGTCTCTGAAAACTACACATATGAATCTCATAGCTGGTGTCCTTTTTTGTTCCTCTTTTCAATGTTTTGCCATAATAATATTGCTTTCAATTATCTCACACACTCTGTTCTAAGCCAAAAAGATAAATGTGGTTTAGATTGGCTAAAGAGGCATTTCGTAACCAACACAGTTACATGACTGGTAACTTTTATGGGATTTGTCCCATAGAAAGCTACTTCACTGATAAATGAGTGTGGAATACTTTGATGGCATATCTGAATATGGTGATCTCTGTTGAATCTTCTGTTCTTGCCTGATGTTTTATCCTCAATTTTGTGGATGTTGCTGATAAATTGATAACTGCAAATGCAGACTTCATAGTTGATAATGGAGCTGATCTACCTGATGAGGATGTTGGTAGAAGGCTGCACCGTCGCCCATTACCTCTCCGGGAAGATGAGCAAGAAGATGTTGAAGCTCTTGAGAGAAGCATTCAGGCTAGGTATGCAAGATCAAGTCACACTGAATATGATGAGGAGACAACTGAAGTGGAGCAGCAAGCACTTTTGCCATCAGTAAGAGATCCAAAGCTGTGGATGGTGAAATGTGCGGTATGATAATGTTTTCCTGTGCAACTTAAGTTTTGGAATTTTGTTTTTGTGCATTAATGGTTAATGGTCATTGGGACATTTGTCATGGAATGTTAACTAAGTTCATGTTTATGCATGCTAGATTGGTCGTGAACGAGAGACTGCAGTTTGCCTCATGCAGAAATACATCGATAAAGGATCTGAATTGCAAATCAGGTCTGTTATTGCCCTTGATCACCTCAAGAACTATATTTATATCGAAGCAGACAAGGAAGCCCATGTGAGGGAGGTATGTCATTATTGCTGCATTTGCTTTTGATGAGTGGCTTAGCTTTAGATGTCTACTCATATTTGTGTTGATCAATTTTGATCTGCTTCAGGCTGTCAAGGGTCTACGGAATATATTTGCGACAAAGATAATGCTTGTTCCAATAAGAGAAATGACTGATGTTTTATCAGTTGAAAGCAAAGCGATTGATCTTTCAAGAGATACCTGGGTCAGAATGAAGATCGGGACATATAAGGGTGATCTTGCTCAAGTATGTTATATGTCCTTTGCCATTTTCATGAATTATTGTCTTTCAAAATTTAATAGCCTGACCTTGTAACCATTTTATAGGTAGTTGATGTGGATAATGTGCGGCAAAGAGTCACTGTAAAATTGATTCCTAGGATTGACTTACAGGCTCTGGCGAATAAACTGGTATGAATTTGATTGCATATTTTTTAGGTGCTTATCTTGTGGATTGCACGTGTTAAAACTTTATAATAAAATTCTGTTTTTATCTTCTTATGCATGTATAGAATTAAGCTGATTTAGTGTTAACTATTTGGCTCGCTTTCCTGGCCCCTTTGTCCCTGACCTACTCTCCTACTATTTCACACAGGAAGGGAGAGAAGTTGCAAAGAAAAAAGCCTTTGTCCCTCCTCCTCGTTTTATGAATGTTGATGAAGCTAGGTAGTCTTAAATGATTTAGACCTCTTGTGGAAACTCTACCACATTTTATTTGCTTCATAATAACTTAGTTCTCATGCCTCAATATTTTTTGTTTTTTCTTTTTTGTCTAGGGAACTTCATATTCGTGTAGAGCGCAGACGAGATCCAATGACTGGTGATTACTTTGAGAATATCGGTGGCATGTTGTTTAAAGATGGGTTCTTGTACAAAACAGTGTCAATGAAGTCAATAAGTTCTCAGAACATTAAACCAACTTTTGATGAACTTGAAAAGTTTCGGACACCTAGTGAGAATGGAGAAAGTGAAATGGTTGGTTTGTCAACATTGTTTGCAAACAGGAAGAAAGGCCATTTCATGAAGGGTGATGCTGTTATTGTTGTCAAGGGAGATCTGAAAAATTTAAAGGGATGGGTTGAAAAGGTTGAGGAAGAGAATGTCCATATCAGACCAGAAATGAAAGGCCTTCCTGTAAGAATTGAGTCATAATTATTATTCTTTAATTTAACTCTTTAATCCCTGGTGTGCATATAAGTTTCCTTATTGCTGGGACATACTTGGCCTTTGGTGATGTTTTGCAGAAAACTCTTGCTGTTAATGAAAAAGAGCTGTGTAAGTACTTCGAACCTGGGAATCACGTGAAGGTTGTGTCTGGGACAAAGGAAGGTGCAACTGGTATGGTTGTCAAGGTTGAGCAGCATGTGCTCATCATTTTATCTGATACAACCAAAGAACATGTGAGTGATACATCTTTGAAGTCTGGTCCTGATCTAAGAAATATCATAGTGGAAAAATAATCGGCATTTGTTTTATCAGATCCGTGTTTTTGCTGATGATGTCGTTGAGAGCTCTGAAGTAACTACTGGTGTTACAAAAATTGGAGAGTATGAGCTGCATGACCTTGTGCTACTAGAGTAAGTAGATTTTTGATGAAGAATTTGACTCACAGTCCTTAGTTAATTGAGGTCCTAACATATGCATTATATTGGTGCAGTAACAATAGCTTTGGTGTAATTATACGTGTAGAAAGCGAGGCTTTTCAGGTAAATAATCTCTCCCAGATGGCCAGATTTTCAGTGTTTCTCTTTTGAATATTTTCTGAGTCTTTTACTTTCTTTTAGGTTCTTAAGGGGGTTCCAGAGAGACCAGAGGTTTCTCTTGTAAAATTGAGGGAAATAAAATGCAAGCTTGAGAAGAAATTTAATGTGCAAGACAGATATAGAAATGCTGTTTCTGTGAAGGATGTGGTTAGGATCCTTGAGGGTCCTTGTAAGGTAAGATGCTTATTTCTAATTTAGTTGTCTTATTAGTTAGTTTATGAGTTTATAGTTTACAAACTGTCCTTTCCTATCATACTAGGGGAAACAAGGCCCAGTAGAGCACATATATAAAGGAGTCTTGTTCGTCTATGATCGACATCACCTTGAACATGCTGGCTTTATATGTGCTAAAGCTGATTCTTGTTGTATAGTGGGAGGATCACGTTCGAATGGTGACAGAAATGTAAGTCTTTTTCCATTCTTTTTTTCGTGGTTAATTCATGTATAATTTCCATTCCATATTAAGGCTAATGTACTTGATTCATTTGTTTAGGGTGAGTCTTTCTCAAGATTTGGAGGCTTCAAGACTCCACCCCGTATACCACCATCACCAAGGAGATTTTCTAGGGGAGGTCCTCCTTTTGATAGTATGTTGCTGATGGTCTTATTAAGTTTTGTTTTTTCAAAATTTTATGGTTATTGAATTTCTTTGACTTATTTTTTCGAGGTTAAGTGATTACATTTATGAGAAGGTTGATGCTATTAACTTTGCCTCTTTAAAACAGCTGGAGGGAGGCACAGAGGTGGAAGAGGAGGGCATGATGCTTTGGTTGGTACTACAGTGAAAATTCGCCAGGGCCCTTTTAAGGGTTACCGTGGACGTGTTGTAGATATTAAAGGTCAATCAGTTCGAGTTGAGTTGGAGTCTCAAATGAAGGTTGTTACAGGCAAGTCCAGGCTAATGTTCAAAATGTTTTCTCCTTCGCTTTAGTATCTTTATGGCTTATAAAAATTGTTCATTTCTGCAGTTGATCGCAACTTTATATCTGATAATGTGGTTATTTCCACACCCTACCGGTAAATATGACTTCTTTGAAATTCCTTTTGTTATTTTTTGACTATGAAATTCCTCTTGTTATATCTCTCTGATGTTGCATGTTTATATTGTTTCACTAGCGATACATCACGATATGGTATGGGAAGTGAAACTCCTATGCACCCTTCACGAACTCCATTACATCCATACATGACTCCTATGAGAGATGCTGGAGGTATTGTTTTTTTAATGCATTTAGCCATTTAAAGTGTGGATACTTCCATTAATAATTGATATTGTTTTTGTGGTAAAATAATGTTAATATTCAGTTACTTTTATGTTCTCTGCAGCAACACCTATCCATGATGGCATGAGAACACCTATGCGTGACAGGGCCTGGAATCCTTATGCACCAATGAGCCCACCCAGGTTTTTTAGTAGATTCTGTTTATCTAGAACATCGTGCTTTAATTCTTTTAAGTTATGCTGTGATTAACAACTTCTTGTTTTGTTATGACTGCAAAATAGGGATAATTGGGAAGAAGGAAACCCTGCCTCTTGGGGTACTAGTCCACAATATCAGGTTAGGATTCTTGCATAATTTGGTGCTATCAGCAAGATAGCTATTTTTTTCTTATTGTATTTGTTTTGAATTTGGTTCTTTGTTTTTAAAATAACTGTAATGCTGTTCTTTTCAGCCAGGAAGTCCTCCTTCGAGAACATATGAAGCACCTACTCCTGGTTCAGGTTGGGCTAGTACTCCTGGTGGTAATTATAGTGAGGCTGGAACACCAAGGGATAGCAGTTCTGCTTATGGTAGTTGTTTATCCTAATTTTGGCTACATATATGTTTTAGTATTGTTTAGCATTACTGAGATTGTACGTTTATTGCAGCCAATGCTCCAAGCCCTTATATGCCATCAACCCCCAGTGGGCAGCCTATGACACCAAGCTCGGGGTCCTATATTCCTGGTACACCTGGAGGGCAGCCAATGACACCAGGAACTGGTGGTCTTGATATTATGTCTCCTGTAATAGGTGCTATTTCTAGTTCCTCACTTGTTTTTAGAAAATTGACCATTCTTCATCTAGGCTATGGACTTGGATATTTTACAGGATCCAAATATTGTCTATCATTTAATTAATTTATTTCTTTTATATCAGAAATGTTTTGGTGCGAAATCTTGATGAATTTAACTTGATGTGTGTCTTCTTGAGGAATTTTTTAAGAATTTTTTTTTATTTAGTTTTCTGATGTGAACCTTGGAATCCATCTTTGAATAGTTATTACTGAATAAGCCAAGTCTGAGTACTTCTGTAGGATTTGTTGAGTGCCTTAAGTTTATCTGGAGTTATTTCCTCAATTGCAGTTCTAAATTTTTAAAAAAGTAAAAGAAAAAGCAAACTGTAAATTCCAATTTAACGTCCAGCTGTTTGCAGGTGCTGAGAACGAAGGACCATGGTTCATGCAAGATATTTTGGTCAATGTGCGCAAATCTGGAGATGAGACTCTTGGAGTTATCCAAGAGGTGCTTTCGGTATGTCTTGCACATTTCCCATGTTATTTGTTTTGTCAATTTGTTAATGTTATTTTTTTTTCGCTTTTACATTGCACATTTCCCATATGATATGATATCAACTATCATTTCAGCATTGGACAATTGGGAATAATTTTGGTTTACTTTTGATTACAATTACATAATTGTCTCAATGATTATATTTCAAACAAATCTATAAAGTGAAGGTGCACACACCATTCACGGATTTCCTTCATGAAATAATTGCAGTTTGCCTTTCAGTCCAGTTTTCTTACTGTGTCCTCTATAATTTGACCAAGTTATTGTTGAAACCTAAAGCAATTGTAGCAGTTGTTGACTCTAGTTGGAGTGTCTCAAAAACTTGTTATAAAGAAAATGATATATTTGATAATGAATTGATGGTCCATGATGATACAGGATGGCTCCTGTAAGGTGGCCCTTGGGTCAAATGGCAGCGGTGATACTGTAATTGCCCTTCCTAGTGAGATGGAGATAGTAGCACCAAGGAAATCAGACAAGATCAAAATAATGGGTGGCTCACTACGTGGTGTTACTGGCAAGTTAATTGGTGTGGACGGAACGGATGGCATTGTAAGGATAGATGACAGTCTTGATGTCAAGATATTGGACTTGGTTATACTAGCAAAATTACCATGATCAACTTGGAAATAAAATTAAAATTAACAATGTATATTTTTTTTATATTATTATTATTTGTTATTAGTTTTGAGCAAATTTTGTGAGAAAATTCATGTTATAGCTCACTCTCTATCTGCATGTGCACATGTGCAAAACCTGCATGTCTGTCTGATTAAAACTCTCAATTCTCAAAATTCAGTGCAAGTAGAATCAGCTGTGCTGTGTTATATTGAGGTTGAGGGAGTATGGTATAGTATAGTGTAGTTTGCAGGTATCATAAACCTGAATTTGATTGTATGGGAGATGAGTTTCAGGATGCTGTATGAGTTGGCAAGGACTGAATGTTTACGGTGTATGGAAGGTGTAGAGAAACTTATTCAACCTATTCTTTACCTCCCTGGATTTGTATTTTTATTATAACTAGAAAAGAAAATAGAAATCAATGCCAATGGATGATATTTGCAGGTGGAATTCGTTTATAGTTAAGTAGTATTTATCATCCGTGTGCATAAAACCAGGATTTCAACATGCTCTACTCGTAGGCTATAACAAACATTCCACACTATGAGACATTGAAGCACACAAGTGTCATAAAAAGACTTGACGACGTTTTGTTGACTCCTTTTCACTTGTCCCTGTTCTACTTCTACTTCTACTCCATACGGATGATGCATCGAATGCCTTCACCTTTAAGCATGTATTCAAAAGCCTTGTTGATCTCAGAGAATGGGACTGAGTGTGTTATGAATTTCTCTAGTTCAAGTTCCTGCAGCGTCGGACATAATTAGTCCATGAGTTTCCATCAAGGTTTGAATCCATTAACTAACTTCATCACAGCTAGTTTACCTTCCTCGTGTACTTTTCCACCACTGACGGAAGATCGGAACGGGGTTTGTAGTTCCCGAAGAGGGTACCTTTGAGAGTCCTCTCGTTCAACAAATTTATGGGGTGAGTCTTGAACACAGCATCTTTGTGTGGCAGCCCCACAAGAACAGCCACACCCCAGCCCTGAATTCACCGTTTGGAATTTGGTTAGTGTTTGGCACTAATAATCCTTTTTATGTAACCTTAACGAGAAATTACAGCGGGCATCAAGTTTATGTTCGATGAGAACTAAGAAATGAAGTCTTTGGAAACGTACATCATGGACGCATTCAAATGCAGAGATCATAGCATCCACATTTCCAGTACATTCAATGCTTCTGTCCACTCCACCGTCAGTTATCTCAGCAATCGCCTGGCAAGCAAATGTAGCTGAGGGACTACCCGAATATCATTTCAAACCAGAAAGGAAAAGCTCAGAGACAGACCTCCTGAACTGGCTTCCTGTAGTCTTTTGGGTTCACAAACTGTGTCACGCCAAATTTCTTTGCTGAAAAAACAAAAATTGAGAATCGCAGAAACATGTGACAATTAAGGGTCCTCTGCAGACTGATGTGTTAATACCTTCTCTTAAATTAATTCGATAATTACTCGAATTGTCCAAGACAATATATATTAATGAAAAGAATTTGTGTTGAACTAGAGCCAGCAACTAACTGGCTAAAGAAATGCAACATGGTCCTTACCTTCTTCAAATCTATTTGAGTTAATATCAACACCAATAATCCTTGAAGCACCAGCAATCCTGGCCCCTTCAGCAGCCTAATCACATATAAACACCTCAAAATTCATGTGTGGTCTTAAAACATCTGATAATGAAAGGCAAGAGATTTATGTATTTATGGCAGAGAGAGATGCTCACTGCAAGTCCCACAGCTCCCAATCCAAAGACAGCCACCGTTGAGCCCTTTGGAGGTTTTGCAACATTAAGAGTAGCACCAAGTCCTACAGAAGAGAAAAGGAACCAAAAATTTAAGTTGGAATCCATCATCCGTCAAGTAATTAACAGAATCTGTATAATATGGTTAGAAGTCTCCGTACCTGTGGATATTCCACAGCTGAGAACACAAACTTTGTCAAGAGGAGCCAAGGGGTCGATCTTGGCAACACAGCCAACATGAACCACGGTGTACTCGCTGAAAGTGGAAGTCCCAACAAAATGGTAAATAGGCTTCCCATTGATTGAAAATCTTGTTTTCTCATCGTTAAGCATTACACCCCTGTCAGTGTTAACCCTGAGCAAGTCACACATGTTGCTCTCTTCTGATTTGCAGTAAGCACAATCCATGCATTCCCCTGTGAACACAGGCAGGACATGGTCACCAGGTTTGAGTTCTGTCACACCTTCACCAACACTCTCCACAATCCTGAATCATCCATGAAATCATAGAAATCAATGAACGTGAAACTACTGCAATATACAAGAGAATAAGCCGGCTGAGATTGCATACCCTCCTGCTTCATGGCCATAAATCCTAGGAAATAATGGGTTCTGACCCTGCATGATAGATAGAAACTCCATATGTTAATACTATGTTAAACTTGAATTGGTGGAAAGAAAATTCTATGGTTTTATGCCTGGGATCTATGTGGAGGCTGTTACCTTGGCTTCCCAGAAGTATACATCAGAATGGCACAAAGAGGTGAAAAGGATTTTCAAACGGACTTCATTTGCCTGCGGTGGTGCCACCTCTACTTCTTGTATCACCAACGGTTTCCCGGGCTCCCATGCCACAGCAGCTGCATTAATTTTGTTTTTTTAAAAAACAGTAATTAAATATCCGAAAAAAATACAATAGAAAAAGAAAATAACTTGGAAATGAGATGAGCAAAAGAACAGACTAGACCAGTCCTCTGCATTTGTATTTAAAGTACCTTTGCAGCGTATCACCTGAGCAGCAGTACTCGACATCTTTGCTCTTCTTCTCTTCGTAAAAATATATGGTAGCAATTTGTGGAGATATTTAAAGCTTTATGCCTAGGCTAGAGGGAATACTTGAAGTGAATAGTTAGCATGTAATCCTACATGTTTATGGTTCAAAAATAAAAACATAGAATTTTGTTCCTAGCAACAGTTTAAGACTTTTCAAAGTACTTTACCACAAAACAAAATACAACGTACAGGAGATGCCCAGATTCTAGTCTCCGGGGGTTTAATTTACCGTTGATTTTTTTATATATCTATTTGACAATTACTGATACAATATAGTGATCAGTAGCTTCTCTTTGTTCACTTCTTTATTTCAGTCATTCATTATAAATGCAAAATCATCATCTCTAGCTCTGTATTTTCCAAAACTTACTGCTTTATCTTCCCTCAATTATTAATGAAATCAAGGGTTTTACCCCCCCAAAATAAAAAGAAAGAACAAAGGCATTATTATTATGTAATGAAAAGATTGGTTTATAAGTACCCTTTGACCTTACAATAATTAATAATATATGTTTGGGATCAATATATTCATATATAAATTATTAGTGAACATTAAAAAAAGATTATGATTAGAGAAAGATTAAAAGTTATTTAGCCCATTCTTTGTTGTCACCTCATAGAATAACTAATATATACTTCTTCACCTTCAGGATTTCTTTAATTCATCTTTTATTTATTTATTTATTTATTTATTACTATAATTAAATTGGGAAAACCATCGCATGACCAAAACATAGAAAGAATGATGGAATTCAGCCTCTTCTCTAATTAACAATTTTATTACCTACAAATTCTTGACATTAATTAGGTACAAGTGTACAACTCTTACTAATTGAGTTCTTAATTAAGCACAGTTGGTGGTTTAAAATTTACAGGTTGTCAGGTTAGGCTAGCTGTTGGCTCATTCCCATGCATGGTGTTTGCCGTCTCTTTTCCCTTCATGAAATTTTAGAAAAACCACCCGATGAATTTGATGAGTCCAAATTTAGTATTCTCAATGGCAGGCTCTTTATAACTTTTAAGCAATACCAAATAAACAATACCATCCAAAAATTTCCATTTATGGAAGGCTTATACCCAATTATTAAATGCATTAATATGCTGTAATGTCAAGTGTTTGAATCTAATTATGATTGGTATTGAGTATTGAGAGAGGGAAAGGACCAAAACGGTTAATTTATTAGCAATTTTCTAGTACTTTTGATAATGAGTGTTATTAAAGTTTATTTATAGTAATATTTTGCATTAATTATAGTAATTCACTTTAACAAGTTAATAATTAAAAAAAGCATTCTTAAAACACTTGTTTAATAGAAGGAAACCCTTCTATCAAAGCCAGCTGGGATTTGAAACAAAGGCAAGGCCAGCTGGGATTTGAAACAAAGGCAAGGCTGTTTTATTCCCAAAACCTAAACAATATTTGGATGGTTCACCAAGTTGAAAATGACTTAATAATTATTTGAAGTTTATAATTATCAATAATACAATTAATTACTATGTATTGCTTAAGATCACTAACAATAAATTATGAAGGATCTACCATAAAAGGAAATTGATGAGGACAAATCGAGTCTTAAAAACAATGACCCTTATAACACGTTTTGAAGTCAATTTTTAACCCATTTTTCTGTGTTTCCATTAGATTATTCGAATATATGTAAGTGTCCTGTAAAATCAAAAAATGTTGTTAGTGAGGAGATGCATCAGTCTTAGACCATTATTTCAGTTTTAGATTGCCTTCAGAGTGATACCTGTGCAACGTAATTTATAAAAAATTAAAGAAATAAGGGTTATTTTAAAACATTTAAATATATTTTTAATTTTTTATTATATTCATCAAATTTTTGTAATTTTATTTTGAATCGAATAAATTTTTATGATTAACAGTTGATAATTATTTAATTTAAAATAAAACTACATAAATTTTAATAAAAATTTATTTAAAATTTATTAAATAATTCAAAAAATAATTAAAGTCGATGCCAAACGTAAATGATCATATTTCCATGATGAGTATTGATGCTCCTAATTACATTGACCAACAATTTTCCAAGTAGAGTTACTTTTGAGTAAACAAATGTTGCCATCTTCTTCCTTTATCATCATAATATTGTTGATTTAAGATCGATCTTCTTTGTTGTGTAACATTAAAGTACTAGTAGCTACTCTGTATATATACTTTGCATGGTTGTTTACAGATTTTTTTCTTAATAATAATTGACCTCAAATTTAGTCAAATTACAATATTGAACTATTCCTAAATTTAGTCCCATTTTCCAAA